TCTTGGACAAAAACATCTTAGATCTGGCTTTTTATCCAAAAGAATTTAAAGCAGGGTCTTGAAGAGATATCTATATATCCTGTCCACAGCAGCATTATTCACAATAGCCAAAAGGTGGAAGCAACCCAAGTATCTACTGACGGATGAATGGATAAACCAAAGGTGGTATAAACACCCAATGGAGTATTATTCCTTACCAAGGAAGGAAATTTTGATATGTGCTTCAACATGGTTGAATCTTGAGGACATTATGCTAAGTGAAATAGGACAGTCTCAAAAAGACACTTATATAAGGTACCTAAAATGGTCACATTTCTAGAGACAGAAAGCCAGATGGTGGTTGCCAGGGTCTGGGGAGAAGGAAGAATGAGGAGTTATTTAATGGCTGGCTATTGAGCTTGCCTTGCAAGATGAAAACGTTCCAGGGATTGGTTGCACAATGCTGTGAATATACTTAACAATACTGAACTGTGCACTTAAAAATGGTTAAGATGGTAAATTTTCTGTTACGTGTATTTTACTACAATAACAATACCTGGAAAGAGGAGTCAGTGAGAAACACTGACTGGTGCCAAGTTTGAGACCGCGATAGGGAGAGGCAAGTGTTGGGTCCTGGACACAGATGGGGCTGTTGTGGTTGGCACCAGCCGTCCCCCTTCGGGACTGAAGGGCACTTGTCACAGCTGACACACCCCCGTTACCAGCCTTCAGCTGTCAGCCTTGTGTGAGAATCGCCCTCGGCAGAAGGAAGCCATCCTACCCAGTGTCACAGCCACTTCCCCAGGGCAGCTCGCATGCAATGAGAGGTCAAGGCAGGGGCAGAAAAGGCCCAGTCCTCTTGGCCCCAGATGGGGACAGCTCTGAATGGTAAGCCCAGCTTCAAAGCTCCCTGAGGGGTCAGCTGGAATCTCGCTGTGACTATGTCACAACTTCTCTCTCTGTCCCATCTTGCTTCCTTCACTTGCCCCACAGGTGTCGTGCTGAGAGCCTTCTCTAATAAACTTCCTGCCTGCTAAGCTCAGCGATAAGGGTCTGAGTCACATCACCAGCTAAGACACCAAAGCCAGCAGTGGTGGTAGCTGAGATGGAGGTGAATCCAGACCAGGTAGTGGAGGAAGGAAGAGAATGGGGACCAACTGCAGCAGCAGGGGCCGCGGCTCAGCCCACTAATTCCCGCTTCCACGCTCTCCCTCAAGAAGACAGACCCACGGGGCCACGGAGGAGCCGGTCCATGGAGAGTGCGTGGAGACGGGCTGCAAGCAGAGCGAGAGGTGGGCTCTGGTAGACACAGCGATGCCCCATGCAGATCCCTCTTCAAGGAGGGACTTGCTGCCCAGCTGTGAGGAATGCAGTCAGCAGATGGCCTCCAGCTGTCAGCTTCTTCAGAGTCAGCCTCACCTGAGATCATGCCCTTCCCAGGACAGCCTGCATCAGGGCTAAAAGGATGAGGACATATAAAGGAATGGCTGTTTTGTCCTGTGAGTTTCCTGCTGGGTTGACCCAATGTTTGTGTCCCCGTAAAACCTGTCTGTTGAAACCTAATCCCCAAGGTGATAGTGTTTGGAGGTAGGACGTTTGGGGGATGATCAGTGCCCTTAACAAAAGAGACCCCAGAGAACTCCCGTTCTGCCATGTGAGGTTATAGCAAGAAAACAGCTGTGTGACCTAGGGCTCTCATCAGACACAGAATCTGCCAGCACCTTGATCTTGGACTTTCTAGCCTCCAGAATGGTGAGAAAAATGCCTGCTGTTTATAAGCCACCCAGTCTATGGTATTGTGTTTTAGCAGCCCAAGCGGCCTAAGCCATGGGTTGACCAAGGCTCTGTTAAGCTTGCATTTGCACTTTGCCTTCTGCCTCTTCCCAACCTTTAAATATCCTGCACCCCTCAAAATCTCCACCTTGGTGTTTGCTTCCATATAATCCAACACAACATAAGCACCGATACTTTTAGCAGATATTTTAAACTTATTTCATTGTCTACCACATTGTAGGTCCTCACTAAATGTTTGTTGAATAAATAAACAATATTAACCACTATGTAAAAAGCATTATTATGCTGGTTATACAAAAAAGAATAAGAAATTCTGTCTTCATTGGGGCTTGTTGTCCAATGCCCTCCTAGCTTGCACAATGGGCCCATGAACAAAGTGACTGGGGTGGCAGAGGTGGAGACCGTGCCTTTCTCACAATTATACTCAATGATCCACTTGCTGATTCTGTGCTTCTCATCCCTGTAAACTTGGGCTCTCTAGGGTAAGCGTTTCTAATTTTTGGAGGAGCATTTAGGCTGGGGGACACAGGGAGGGTTCCACTGAATTGCACATTGTGACAACACTTAGTCACTTTGGGCTCCTCATGTCACTGAACCAACAGAGAAGGGAGTTACTGCACTACCTGGGTTAATCGGTTCTGATTGCCGGGGGAATTACTAGGGCTGCTGCTATAGTTGGCCTTTGAACAACATGAGTTTGAACTGCAAGGATCCACTCATACTCGGATATTTTTCAAAAGTAAATACTACAGTACTACATGATCTGGTCTATGGTTGGTTGAATCCATGGCTGCTGAGGAACCATGGATGCAGACAGCCAACTATAAATTGTATGTGGATTCACCCCCTCGTAGTTCAAGGTTCAACTGTATTTAACAGGGGCAGGATAGAGAATGTCCGGAACCCAGAGGGTTCACTAGTGTTATCACTAGATACTTCTATGCTTGGGATGACTGTTAGTGGGGAGTTACAATAACTGCGACGTGACAAGGGCACCTAATCATTCGCACCTCTTGGGGATGAACGTCTGGGTATTCCATCAGGCAAGTCACCTTGACCAACAAAAATACTAGCTGAAGATGAGGGAAATCCAGGTGGGTAGTGGAGGAGGGAGATGATAAATGAACTATGGCCCTAGGACTTGCTATAGCCGTAGAGACTGTGTATTAGTTTCCTATTGCTGCTGTAACAAATTACCACAAACTTTGTGGCTTGGAAAAACATAAATTTATTTTCTTACAGTTGTTTAAGTCAGAAGTCTAAGATGGGTCTCACTGAGCTAAAATCAAGCGTCATCAGGGCTGTCTTCCTTTCTGAGGCTCTAGGAGAAAATCTGTTTCCTTGCCTTTTCCAACTTTGAGAGGCTGCCCACATTCCTTGGCTAGTGGCCCCCTTTCTCCACTGCAAAGCCAGTAACGTAGCACTACTCAGATCCTTCTTATGTTGTCCTGTTTCTCTTTAACGACAGCTGGGAAAAATTCTCTTATTTTAAGGATTCATGTGATTAGATTGGGCCCACCTGGATAATCCAGGCTACAGTCCCCTTCACCCAAGTCCTTAACTTTATCGTATATGCATTGTGCCATGTAAGATAACATATTGACAGGTTCCAGGGATTAGGATATGGATATCTTTTGGGGATGGGGCATTATTCTTTCTACCACAGACTGTAACCTGTGTCACTAATCCACTAAGCCTTCCTGGAGTTTGTGACTGCCACCTTCCTGAGACAAACTGTAACTGACTGAACTCGTTTCTCTCC